TACATAGACTTTTATTAAATACAATTCAAACCTCTCTGGAGACTGTACACAATGCTAGCATTTCTAATAGTTATGGATGGGACGATATGAATATTTCCTACCATGATGAGCAGTGACCAAAATCGTCTCAGTTTTGGGTTTTATCATTGTAATTTAAAAATATACTGAAAATGTCTTAAAGAACCTTCACATCATGTAAAGGTTATAAACCAATTTAAGGATTCTTCTTAGAAACGTGATATTATATGGAAGTTCTATCATCTTTAAAAAGATTTTTCAGTTACACATCCTTTGAAAGTTTCTTTAGGAAACCAAAAGTGGTTATTCTGTGGCGTCACACATAGAACTCTCTCTGGAACCTTTATTTTTAAGACTGGGCCACTGTTCACTATATTGTGAACATGTGTTGTCCTAGCAGGTGCATTGCAGGTAGACTGTGGCATCAGAATCATGCAAATTCACGATTTTATACTGTGGTATGGTACTGTGCAAAAGTCAGACAGAAGTCAGAGACCGCCCTTCATTTTTTAAATTTCCAGTCAAAACAGATATTATGTTATTTTTCAGAAGATGAGATGAGATATAAGAAAGTCTGCTTGCATAAGGAAGATGTCAAATGAAAATAAGTGAAATACAGGAGTTTGCAAAGCTGAAATTCAAAACAAATATTAAGATGAAGACAAAACGGGACTCCTAACAATCATGCAAGACCTGGTACACCACCAAAACTGTCACCATCAGATAAACAGCACTAAAATCTTTTGTCTTTGAGAGATAGAACATCAACCTCCACTCTTGCTTCAGATCTGAAAAAAACCACAGATGTTTCTGTCCATCTTTCCACTGTGAGAAAACAACTCAACACTGTGAGTCTAAAAGGATGTTTAGCTGTCAAGAAGCCGTTAATCAGAAAAGGAAACAGGCAACAAGAAGAAGAGTAACTAGAACAGTGAATGTGTTTGGGATTATTTGGGTTGTGAGAAGCAGAAAATGCAACCAACTTCTAAGACTGATCTTTGGAGGTGTGGAAAAATATACCTGCATATTTCTCTAAAAAAACTGAAAGCAAGTCTTCTGAAAAGAATGGAAGCTATCATAAAGGAGGAGGCTGGATACATGAAATACTGAAATAAAGAGATTGTATTGAGTTGTTGAGGCTTAATAACTTGTACTTAATGCCTGTTAAAGAAATGAAGGTCGGTCTCTGACATTTGCTTAGTACTGTATATTTCATTATATCATAAAACAATAAATGTTCCATCCTTACTGCAAATATGTGCTTGTGTATTACATGCCCCTTTGATTGACGAGAAACAAGAATTTATATCACTCTTTGAAAACCTGTTTCGTCTTGTGCACTTCCTGGGCAATGTATCTCACACACATCTGACATACTGTTGCTGTAGTGTAGGTGGTGTTTCATCCATGTGATGAACTTCAAGTACAGACAGCCCTCTTGAAAAGGTTTCTAATGGAACTGTCTGCAAACACTTACTGCCTTATGCGAGGCTAGAACAGCTGCTATGACCTTGTCCATAGCCTGTGGTCAGATGTTGCAGCTGTGATGTCTGCAGCAATACACAGTCGTCTCATAGCTTTCCCCCAATGCTTTTGCTTCTGAGTAATCACTCACTACTGCAAGTCTATCTCACACCACACAGTAGACTGCAAGACATGCTTTACATATTTTCTGATCCACCACTGTTTATCTTGTGGATTTGCAAGTTTTTGATTGCTGCTGTTCATTCGAGATCACATGCTTTCCACTTTTATTTAAAGGGCTCTTTGGAGTGCTGCCATAAAAGACTAAGGAATCTTTCAATTATTGCCTCCAAAAGATCATAGTTCACCTGCAAGGCATCAGCACAAAGTAAAGACAGTTTTACAAAATGTACCCCTTACTGCAAATGTATTTGATCAGCCAAGACATGTTTCCTGTCCAAAGATTGATTTTTTTTGGTATTGCACTGGATGTTGCATCAGCCTAATGTAGCTAGCATGTAGATTATACATCACCAATTAGCACTGTGCCAACTGCACGCCTAAATAGAACACACTTGCTTCAAGCCATGTCGAGTTGTTAAGTCATCTCAAATACACTAGGTTTCTGACACTATATAACATACTGTAAACTATGAAAATGAACAAAAGTATGCTGCATAGCTAAAAGCAGCAGTCGCATCGTGGCCACGCCTATGTTCCCAAGAGCCTATGTTCCCTCGGCCCTTTATTTTCTTATTGAAATTTCTAGGAAACAGCCCTGTGTGTCCAGGGCCTTGTGTTCCTTCTTTGTCGTTTTGGAAACATCCCTTTTTCCCAAGGTCCTATGTTCCCTCATTGAAATTTTCACAGGAAAAGCGTTATGTCGCCATATTGCATCAATTATATTTCCTCAAAATGAAAATAAGAGTAACATCCATGCCTCTGGTTTATTGCAAAGTAGATCTCAAATTGGTTACTATATTCAGCTACACATCTAGCAGTACACTTAAATGTATATAGAGCAATTGGCACAACCAACAGAATATAGTCTAATATAATTGCGTTTAGAGACAGTGATCCACCTAATGAGATCACTGCGCTCTTAAAAAACATTGTTCACATGGACAGACGTTTAATATACTTAAACAGGAAGCAAATCCCAGAAGACTTCAACAACTTCAAGGTAGATGCTAAGTTGGGCGAATCATAAAGGAGTCACAACCCTGTATGACTGAGTGGACTGAGTGGACTACTGTGTCCATCCATTTCAGAATTAATTATGCTGATGCTGTCAGTAATCACGTTATCAAAAAAGTACCAGTTCCACTGGCAGCCATACATGTTTGGGCCATGAGCAGTTTATTTTTTTCTTTTGCCATTCCATCACCATGGTACAGTGTAATCTTTGTAACATCTCTTCAGAACACAGGGTGAACTACATCCTGCCCTTTCTGTTTTTGAGGCTTGCCAATGATTTTTATCTTATGATGAACCCTCTGAGGTCATGCTGGTGTGTTCTTCTCTTTAGATATCTGATACATCTGTTGCTACATTCTGGAGAGTGTTCTTCATCTATTCATCTGTTTTTCTTCATTGAAAATATTCTTCAGTCATTCAGTACTTCCTTCTGGGTCCTGACTGGTCGTTTGATATCACTAAACTTATTTTTGGCTAACATTTTGGCTTCAATTTAGGCTCATGATGACCTACTGTAGTGGCAGTAGGGTTTTGGTGCTCTTTTGTATACAAAGTGATAGCATAGCTGGCCAAAAAACTGTGTAGAGAAGGTTATAATTACTATTCATTTCTCCCAGAGCTATCAGTCTGCACTTTAATTTCACAGTTATTGTTTCATTTCAGATCTAATATTCTAGCATACAAGGCCGCGCTCATGTACACTTGCGGGGATGGCTGGAGAAACCAGGCTAGCAGAAAGCTAAAACCTGCTTGTGAAACTCTAGTCCCACAACAGCACAGTTAATTATTCAGTGGACAAAATGAGTTTGCCAGAAGGTGCAAGCCTTTCTGGAGCTGTGTATCCATTGTTTCGGATTTCCTCTCGTGTCCAGTCCTGTAGTCTAACGTGCATGTATGTGGGTGTTTACTGGACGATGGGTTCAGACATTACGGTTTAGCTCACAAGGACTGGATTGGACATTCACAGAAAGCTAGTGTGTGGTAAATAAATGGCACTGTTGCGTTGCTTCTTTCCCCTGACTTTATAAAACCACAGATCATAGATTTTCTGGAAGGCATTTTTCCCTTTACCACAGATAAAGCCAAGGCATGTTTGTTGTCCTAAGTTTGCCTCTTTAGTTTTGCAACCATATTGTGTTGTTAAGTAATCTGGAATAGACTTGTTCATGTGGTTTCGGAAACTATACTGTTATAAAAAAGCCAAAAATTCTAGGCAATATTTAAAACGTAGTTTCACAAAATTGCACAATACTTGCCTGTTGAAAATTGGGGATCACCAATTATATTACCCTCCCCGCTACCCTAAACACACGATAGACTGCTTCTTGGCTTTACTTTGTATTTGATATTTAGATTATATGCTTTTAAAGCGTTAACTGATGTAATAAAAAGATTAAAATTTTAAATACTGTAACCTCATTTCCTAACAGCAAGGGAGCATCCAAATGTAGTATCGCATGACACTGCAAAGCCTTCAGTATGTCTACACTTGAAACATCGAGTGCATGTGTCAAGTCAAAACATAAACAAACCACAGACCTATTAGAAAAGAGCTGCTTTACTAATGGAGCTGTATAGCTGTGGTTTGGGACGTTGATTTAATAGAATGTGTAACGAGTTATATTTTATCTCCACGTTTAACATCAGTCTAAACAACATGGTTAAAATAGCATTTTATCACTCTGGTGGTGGGCAGCTAGGTTGTATCTGTTAACTTGTATCTGCTAAGTCTAATTTGCTACCTAGCTAAGTGTGCTTATCTATCAGTGACAGAAAACAAACAGTATTCTCTTCAATTTCCAGCACTGTGGCACTTTCTCTCCATGTTGTAGACTGGAAGGTTTGTAGAAATCCATGAGTTTCTCCTCATCCATTTTGAGGTGGAATGGCAGAGCAGTGCACAACATCACGCTCTACCACTCATAGCTGGTACAGACAGCTTCATTGGTTATAATGGAAGCATTTTGGTTTTGTCTTGTTGCTTTCTTGCATCACTTGATGTATTGCTTGGACATGGTGTAATGCTGAACAACTTTCAGAAGTAATTGTTTGAAAACTCCACTTGTTTTGAAAGTTGTTAATGCAAACGCATGCATTCGTGAGCTCCTGCTGGTGTGAATCCTTGACTGTTATTCTTCTTTAACTGAGGCACATAAAAGCAACTTTCAAATGTATTGGCAGATCGACTACATTGGGAGTAAAGTGGGAAAATGTGTATATTAGACTTTTTTTGCTATCATGTTAACTAAAAGCTGCATGGAGAGTTGTTATTAATGACGTTTTATTTTCTTGTTGTGTGTATATGCATACTTTCCTTCCAGAGTGCAACAGCAGTGCCCAGTCCAGCGAGTGGGAATCTGCCTCCCGGAGAGGGGATGCCAGTACCTCCTGGATTCTTCCAGGTACACTCACACACATACAAATACACACAATCAGTCACACAGGAAAATATGCTTTATTACATAAACAATGAATGTATGTGCTGTTCAGAGACCTCTGTTCTAAAGAGCACAAAAACATCTTGAATTCACTGACTCAATGCTAATGAAAGTTTGCGGGGTATATTTGTTCAACACTGACAGTAAATCTCATTTACACGTTTTCCTCCCTGGAACTACAGCGCTATTGTGTCATATCAGGAATTTGTGAAATCGAGAGGAAGTCTATGTGTTTGTACTTGTTTAGCTGTTTTTCTTTTGCAAAACCCTGTTCAGGCTACTCCCCTGCACGCGTGCCAATAACAATACTCTGGAGTTCATCAGCGAGGAATTTGTGGGGATCCACTGAGAGAGCAGAGCATAAACAGATTGATTTAGTGTCAGCAGCTGAACTCCAAGCTGCTCTCCCACCCCACTAACAAGAACTGACAGCCCTCATTCGCATTCTACAGCTCAGCTTTCAGAAAAAGCTCTACCGCTCTACCTTTAGTGCAACTCAGCCTAACATTCTTTGCCATACGCCTCATTCATCCTGTGATCAATTCAGATCCTCAAAGGAATTATTTTGTTAACATTACTGCTGTATGTCTACACCCATACGAATTGAAAGTAGTTCAATCACGATTTGCTTCAAAGATATCACAGTGTCATGGTGTCGGAAGAGATTTAAGTTTGAAATGAATGCCCTCTAAAAGAATGCCTTAGAGACCTGACATAGCTTGTTGTGATTAGACTAAGTTAACCTTACACAGCACTGTAACTGTTACCCAGACAGAAACCATCTCTACAAAGAAAACTTGATATTGTTTAGATGTACAGTATTGTGCGAACACCACCATTCATGCATTTAATATGCAGTTAAAATGAAAATTAAGTACGTTATTAATTTTTCAGGAGACATTTCTGAGGATATTAGATATGAGATAGTCAACTCGCATAAGGAAGGGGAATGTCAAAAAAAGTAAAACAGGAGTTCAAAAAAAAAAATTATTACAGATACAGAGCATAAACACTGCTTTAAAAAAAGCCTTCTTCAATGAGATTTTGAGAGAAAATCAAGTTCTGTTCTTGCTTCAGATCTGGATTGACAAAAAAGAAGAAAATTTGCAAATCAAGCAAAGAAGCTGGTGGTGTTCTTAGAACAATGGACTGACCACCCCAGAGTTCAGATTTCAACATCACTGAATGTGTTTGAGAATACTTGGGTCATGAGAAGTAGAAAATGCAACCAACTTTTAAGACTGAACTTTGGAAAATATCCCTGCAGATTTCTTCGAACAGAAAGCAAGTTTTCTGAAAAGAATGGAAGCTGTAGTAAAGGCAAAGATTGGAGGCACTAAATGCTGAACTATAAATGATATTATATTTAGCATTGTTTTTTACTTTACTGTTACATATATCGTTGCTGCATTTTTTCCTGATGCAGAAAATTAATAATTTCAAATTAAAGTTAATGTTGTGTGACACCAATGCAACAACAACAACATATTGCCTAGCACTAATTGAAAGGATAGAAATATAGAATCCTATAAAATAAAAAAAAACGAGCTTGTTGATTTTACAGTTGATTGCACTTTGATATCATTAAAGTTTAGTAAAATGATATCTTCCTGTGGTCTTGACCTTTGCACCTTGTTGGAAATAGAAAAATATTTAGTAAAACTAAATACTGTGTCTGAGAGCAGTTTGAAACATACATCCATTTTGTTCATTGTGCATCTAGTTTTGTTGTTGTGCATTGATTCATTGACACTGCTAATTCTTATCAGTGAAGCAGAGGACTGTAAAACCATGCCAACATTTTTATAAAGCCATTACCTGATTTTATGTTTCACAGCTGCTCAGGTTAAAGGAGGTTACGGAAGAGACTGTTGGCAATGATGTAAAATGAAAAGATGATTTGACCAGTGTTGCACAGTTAGCTGATCAAAGTAATTCTTGCATTGCCCTCTGGTGGTGTGATGTAGAGCAGGTCATTAACTGCTTTCTCTTCTGTTCTTTATAATGATTGCCTTATAAAAATGCATTATAGTGATGCATAATGCAGCAAGATCAGTCCACTCACAGTTGCACGTGAGGTCATGCTGAATATTTTTCAATAAGGGTGTAAATCTGACCTCACATGAACCATTCAGTGCATCATGAAATCTCAAATTTCACCACAAATGAATTCATTTATTTTGTTACATTTATTAATTATTAAAAAGTTAGTTTGTCCCAAAAATGAGTGCGTACAAATATTTAAAATATTATTATTATTATTATTATTATTATTATTATAGATTATTTATTCATTTTAAAACAGTGCTGTTGGATCACCACCTTCAGACGAGTATGTTTCATGTGCTCTAGCCACATCAGCATTTTGAGTGAAATAATCTTTTGGGCTTGTTTAACTGGTTTATGTGCTTGTGTTTCTACAGCAGTTCATGTCCCCTCGCTGCCCCGGTGGTCCCAGAGCCCCTCTCAGAATACCTGGTCAGGTACATTTTCACACTCTTTCAATTCATGCAGCAAAATCACTTGAGCCAATAAGGTAACTATGATATGCTAATTATGTTTTGTAGGAGCAGACCATGCCTTCAGCTGATTGATTGAGGTTTATGGATTGAATGTGAAACTGTACAGGGGAAAATCTGAGAACTTAAGTTCTGTGGTGGGCAGTGGTGGTGGAGCGTGAAAACTTTATCATGGAGAACAGAAAAAGAAGTTTTTAAACGGGAATCCACCAGTTTTCAAAATCCCAGAGAAATTAGACTCAGACTTGTTCAGAGTGATGATGATAGGAACCCGACGTTAAAGAGTTTGATGCCTCTAAAAGAGCCCTCACAAAAAGTTATTACATGAACTTGGTTATGAATACACTCCCTGATGCCTGAAACATTGTTTTGTGATAGTTTTCAGATAATGTTTTGGCCTAAAATGTTTTTTTTCTTCTTAATCTACTTATGGAGGGCAAAATAGTCCACAGAGAAAACTTATTTTTCAGGCCTACCACTATTTTAGCATTGTCAACAATACATTTAAAAAAACTCAAAAGATGAGCAGATTCACTGGTGGTTTTGGATTGCTGTATTTGTTTTGTGAACACTGTGACTCCTGATGCCTATCACCACTGCTGTAAAAAAAAAAATCAGAGTCTGTAAGTTTCTCTACAGTGAGCTTTTTCACATCAAACCACTGTGGCTGATGGTGTTCACAGCTTGACTGAACGATTGAATTATGCAGGAATTTAGCAGAAGTTTTCCATTGTTATGCACTGCCTGTCAAATGTTTGGGAAACACTACACTTTCAAAATGCTTTTACATACAAATGAGCAGGTTTTCTTTGTTTTCATGTATCAGTGCTAGCTTGTGAATAATAACTCCAGACATTTTATGCCTGTTATAATATCAAACCTTTCAGCTATTTAAACCACTTTCCAGAAAATTTTCCATATGTACTTTTAACAATAGTTTGGAAAAGAAAACCAGCAAATCATTATTTAAAACCTGTTCTCAGAGCAAGGAAGATACTTTGAACATGAAGCTGAGTGGTGCAAAATAGACCTAAAGGATTAATAAATAACTGTTTAAGGTTACGTAAACATTTGCAGTCATGCAGATGTTTTGTTAGTTAATTGAAAAGTCCTAATCCTAATCAAAAGAAATCAAGTTGTTCCCAAACTTTTGACGAGCAGTGTATATTTATCGCTAATAACTGCTTTTGTCCTGACCAGGCATTGGGCCCTGGCAGCCAGCCGCTTTTAAGTGGGATGGATCCTATGAGACAGCCAGGTAAGATTGTTACCACTCTTTTTCAGAATAGGACTGCGTATTGTTCTGAGCTTTGGAGGTGCTTGAGTTTTGTGTGTTTTGAGGTGTTTGAAGTTCCATTAAAAAAATATATATATATCTTCTCCAGGCCATCCAAACATGAATGGGCCAATGCAGAGAATGACACCTCCAAGAGGAATGGTTCCTATTGGACCACAGGTTTGGACACATTGTCTTAGCAGTTCCAGCCACAGGTGCATATCTGTTTATCAATTAGTAAAGTTTAACTGATGGTGAATTAATGATGGATTGGAACTCCTTTGCAGAACTTTGCTGGTGGAATGAGGCCTCCTGTACATTCATTAATGGGACCTGCAATACCTGGCATGTGAGTGTGCATAAAAGCTGGATTGGACTTGCTTTTTATCATAACACTGTATTATACACCAGTTAGTTTTGACACCAAAATCTTGGTTGAAAAGCATTGTTGTTTTATACAAGCAAAATGATATCTTGGCAAGAGAAAACATTTTGACATGTAGTCAATATATCTAATATTGTAAGAACATTCTAAGATTATTCAGTCTATTTCATAATGTTTGTTATTGTTTTAAGTAATTATATCTAGAGAAATTGTCTTATTTCATTGCCAGATAATTTTGCTTGTTTCACAACATATTGCTTGAAGTATCTACCCATTGAATGAGAATTTGACTCATTCAAAATGATTAAAACAAGGAACAAGTGTTTAGAAATAGTTCAAAAAATCATAAATATTTTTACAGTAATCTCATAATAATACATTTAAGATGTTGTCACTTGCCAAGATATCATTTTTTGCAGAATGCCTATTTTTTCACCATATATGTATCTTGCCACTGACCACTGGTTGCTAAGTAACAATAGTGGTCACTTTGTTTTATGCTGCTGCGAACCGTTAACTATGCAAAAATAGAAAAATGGACACATTAGGAAAGATGACATTTGACTTGCAGCCTGTCCTTTGGTCAAATCTGGAAGAAGAATGCGATATTAGCAGGTCAAATGCTAAATCTCTCAAGTTTTAGGTAGCCTTTGTTGCAACATGGCACTTTTTTGGGCAGCAGAAATCATTGTTACTTTTCAGAACTGTTCTGAGGAACGCAAGAGGTTACCTCTCAAAAATCACAGCTTTGATATTATTTGTGGTAACACTCTGCCTCTCATGTTCTATTGCTTAAATATCCTTATTCTGTATCATCCTTGAATTTGTGCTCTCTGTTTCCTCGTGGGAGGTTGAATGCTTGTATGTGAGCCAGATGCTGTTTGTCTTCTGCTTGTGATGTGTGTAGGGCTCCAGGAGGAGGGAGACCTTGGCCAAATCCTCCAAACGCCAACTCAGTGAGTGTTCCCGAGTTTTCCAAACCACACACTGACTTCAAATTCATCCACAGCCAGTAGACCATCAATAGAAACCACTTTAAAAACAGTTTGCTTACCCTCTCTCTCTGCTTCTCTCTCCAGATACCATACTCATCTTCATCTCCAGGCAGTTATACGGTAGGTGTTCACATGCCAGAGATCTCTTCTACAGATAAACAGACAATACTGTTCACTTTGTAAGTGTCCATGCATGTTTCTGAGCTGAGTCAGCATGCTTGTAGGGCCCAGCAGGAGGAGGAGGACCACCAGGCACACCAGTCATGCCCAGTCCAGCAGGTAAACACTGATCCTCAATCAGGTCACTGACTCAGGGAGCACCTCCAACACCAAAATCTGCTGTATGAACTACTGACCTAAGCAAACACATTTGAAAGTTAACAGAGAGGCTTTTAACTGCAAATTAGAAGCAGTCATACCATATGGCCAGTGGTGGACAGTAATAAAGTAAATGTACTTTGTTCTAGTACCTGTACTTTTAAAAAGTATCCATTTTTGAGCATTTTACTTTTTACCCTACTACATTTTATGTAAGATATCCTATTTTTTTTACTTCAATACCTTCTGTAAGATACGGTGAAGTAAAAACTAGATATGAAAAAAATATGATGCACTTTCACAAATAAATCAATCATAGCACATCTTTCACTAAATACTGAATATCCAGTCATAGCTTAGCAACTGTAACTAGCCCTGTGCAAGCTTTTAGAATTAAAGAAAATGTCGTAACATTGAACGGGGAATTAAATTTTTCCTAAGCTGAAAACACAAGAGGAGAAATATTGGATTGTTAGAATATCTCAAAATACTTTTACTTCTAATACTTAAGTACATTTGAAAGACAGTACTTTTGTACTTTAACTCAAGTAAAATATGAATAAAGCACTTTTACTTGAGTAATATTTTACCAAAGGTATCCCTACTTTCTTGCCTACTCACATATTGCATTTGTGTACTTTGCCCACCACTGGTTAAGGCTGCTATAAGTAACTAGGCTAACTTAGCAGGTGTTATCGAGTTAAAGCTAAAGTTTCAGCCTCATGTATGTAAGCACTGTACTATGTGTGCTATATATGATCTGAGATAGTTTGCAGGTATTTAGATATGAATTTGTAACAGTTTGCATTTAAATAATAACTGAGAAATTATCAAAAATCTGTTTGAACTCAGAGTCAACCAACTCAGGGGACAACATGTACAGCGTGATGAATTCAGTCCCTCCAAATGGAAACAGGCCGAATGTAAGATCCATCTTCCACTCTCTTACCAACATGTTTAGGGTTAATTTGGTTAGTTTCTACTACATAGAATCTCCTCAGGATGCTTATAGTGGATGTTAATGGGACATGGGTGGGGAAAAAAAACAGATTAAGAATACAGAACACATCCTTTAATATGCACTCACTGGCTACTTTATTGGGAACACTTGTACAGTTGCTCAGTCATGCAGTTGTCTAATGGTTATCTAATTGTGTGGCACCAGCGCAGTGTATAAATACAAGCACACAGTGGTCAATCATTACAGGTAAAGTTCACATCAAATGACAAAATGGGGGAAAAATGTGATGGCGTGGTCATTGGTGCCAAACAAGGTAGTTTGCTCATGTCCTGGGATATAGAGTTTACATACAATGGTGCGAAAAAACAAAAAACATCTAGTGAGCAGTGATCTTGTGCACTGAGGTCAGAGGAGAATGGCTTGACTTGTTTGAGCTTACAGGAAGGCTGCAACAATTCAAATAACCACTTTAAAACATAAGTCGAACCTCGAGGTGGATGGGCTACAACAGCCAAAGACCACATCGGGTTCCACTCCTGTCTGCCAAAAACAGGCATTAAAATAGGCACAGCCTCAACAGTTGAAGATGTCTGAGTACTACTGATGTTATGTATCCCTTTATGGGCACAATCTATCCATCTTCTAATCCCCACTTACAGCATGATAGTGTACCTTGTCATGAAGCACAAGTCATCTCAAACTGGCTCCATGAACATGACAGTGAGTTCACCAAATCTGACCAAGTATTAGATTAGTGTAATAGTGTAGTCCTAATAAAATGGCCAGTGATTGTATGTCTGAATAGAATTGAATGTATGTATTTGTGTGTAGATGACAAGGTCTTTTATGGTCTGTCAGTTTCCTGTTGGTCCTTGTGCTGATGGTGCAATGGGTGGTGTTGCAGGAATGGAACCTCATCCTCTGAACGGCTCATTAGGTACGATCAATATGACTGACATAACATAGTGGCATAAACACTACTAAATATAATAACACAGCAGGTTTGCATGCTCTGTTTGACCCCAGTAAATACCCTTACAGGATGAGATCATCAAATATGGTAACGTGGATAAAAATGAACATAAGCAAGTATCCACCAATTAGCACAATGTACAGTATTTCTTCAGTATTTAAATGTGCACCCTTCGCTTGCTTTAAAGCTTCCATTCTTTGGGGTGACCTGAAAAGTTCAGTCTTAGACATTGGTTGCATTTTCTGCTTTTAATGATTAAATTAAACCCAATTACAAATTCAGTCCATCTCAGATGTATAGTTTTGGTGTTCTAGTGGAAATCTTCTTAACTATTTTTTAATGTTATGTGCTTTCATGCATTGCAACAGCAGCATTTTGATTGAACTTTTCTGTTTACTCTCTCATCCTCATTTCTGTTGAAAGCATCAGGTGACATCGACAGCCTCCCCAAGGTAAGAGAGGCATCCATGCTCTACTGAAAGACACTGATTCTCTTTCGCATAAACACATTTATTCAAGTCCACAGAAAGCCATCTGAGGATGTTGTGTTTGTATTGTGATGAAAGGTCTGTCCTGACTCCTTCTTGCATTTACCAGAGCTCTCCCGGGAACCTAAGTATGAACAACCAGCCGAGCACGCCAAGAGATGATGGAGAGATGGGCGGCAATTTCCTCAACCCCTTTCAGAATGAGAGCGTATGTGACTAGCTTTCTGACATTTGCTTTGGAGTGGCCTGAAGCTACAAAGAGAAAGATCAGGTCTTTCATGTGAACGTGACCAGACGAAAAACTTAGATAGTTGATGTCACATCAAAACCTTGTAACTCATTAATTTTGTTATTTTAAGAAAAATTACAGCTGCTGTTTTCATTGTATGAACACTTCATGATGAATGGACCAACAGAAATGATGCAAAATTAGCATTTTATGATGTAAATAATGTGGACCAGTTAAGTGCACACTGTATTTGCTTCACCAAAATGTATTAGCACAATTATGCAAGACTCACTGTGCTAAATAGCCAGTTACTTAACACTGTTTAATTTCATGTTATATAAATAGCCAACTATTTTTTTCTGTTTTAGCCTATTAAAGACCTGTTATAAATTATTATTTATGTTGTGACTTTGGCTGATAGAAAGTATGGATACCAGTGTCTTTCATGCTTTACTTAGCCCACAAATGGTGAGCTTCAGATTTTAAAAAAAGACTTTAAAAATCTGGCTAGTTTGACTGTAAAGAATTTAGTATTGAAATCGGCCATAAACACCTCCAATTTTGGAGATATGAGGTTTTGTTATGACTGTGGTGACATGCTTATAGCAGTACTCTCCTGCCCCATGTCATTTTTCTACTTTTTCTCTGTCTTTTTTCCTGCAGTATTCTCCAAACATGACAATGAGTGTTTGAGAGACTGAGAGCAAATGCACTGGGATTCTCATGGGAGACGCTGTGTTCCCCATGGAAAAGTGTGTGGGGCGCAATATTTGCTCATTTCCCTCGTCCAGCTGTGGCTTTCACCCCAACTTCATTATCAAGACCAAAACTGAACAAACCATAAACTGTCAACAAATGTGGACAATCCATGAAGGGCAAACTGAATTTTTTGCTTATTTGCTCAAGACGTGAGCGTGAACAAGGACAAGCAACCCCAAAGTTTCACCATCTGAATTCCTGCTAGATCCCTCATGATGTTTGAGAGTCTTGATCCATTTGTCTTGGTATTGCACACTGTGTTAATCTTCATAGGTCATTTTGCTATAGTTTGTGGAATAAGAGGCAAACTGTTTCTTCTGTAATGAAAATGGACTCGAAATAGTGCGGAGAGAAAATTGAGTTCTCAGTTTGACTCCTGTGTATCTCACAGTGACCCCCTCATACTCACTGATATGTATAAGGTAACATCAAAGTTGGACAGCCGTCTACATATGAGATTTTTTTGGACATGGATTGTACGAAATATTGCTATAAAGCTCATTTTCAGTGTTTTTAAAAGTCGTTTTCTGATTATTGTGTGTTGCTGCAATTTTGCATATGTAATTTTATTTACATATTTCTGTTGAAATTAGATTTTTAATCTGTTTACATAATATAGTGGTTTCAACTCCTGAAGTATCTCTGTCCTGCATAACTGGACTCCGTTATCTAAGACTCACAGCTTCTTTCGGTGGACCAGATATGTTGCAGGAAAAACGCTCAAATGTGCAGAAATACTGATATAACACAAAGTATGCACAATACATATACATATACACAAAGATATTTTCTGTTTACATAATACATATACACAACACAGGTAAACGATATGGACAATTCTATAGATAAATCCCTGGCTCAGCCTGCTGGGCCTGTTTAGTAGCATGCATAGTGCAACATGTCCATTATGCAAGCATGTGATAACTGCAGGATGATAGGGATTACCTGATTTATACTTAACATACTTTAAATATGTAAAGGTATGATGTAAAGTATACAAAGCTTAATCTTCATGAAACAGTCGGCTGCCAGTCTTCAAGAACATTAAAGCAATAGTTTGACAAAAAGTCAAATATGCAGTTTTTCACCTTTACCCCAAATGCAGTGATCAGCCAAGACACATTTGTTGTCCAGAGACACTGGAGCTAAAAGGCTAATGTAGCTAAAAAGTATTGGTAATAATCTCAGATAGAACTGCTGATGTGGTTTCTGACACTGTATACTTGTATACATAAATGTTATCTACAAGATTGCATAGCTAATGTAAAGCAGTAGTAGCACCCATCTTGAAGACTGAACTTTGTCCATATTTGTGTCCATTTTTATAGATGACACGGTACCACTTTAGAATAACACTACTCTTCTAAAAAGATGTATGAATGGTTTAAAATTAGTTTATTAATGGTTATTAATTAGGTCATAAACAGTTATAACACAAGGACAAAAGTGAGCTATCTGATGAACATGAATATGTGATAAACCTGGCCAACAACAAGTCACTGTTTCCCTGTTTGTTTGTGTTGTAACAGCTTATTAATTATTTTTGAGGTGTGTATGAACTAATTATTAACCATTAATAAACTTTATACATTTTTAAACCATTCATAAACGTGTTATAATTGTAGTCTTGTTCTAAAGTGTTAGTGATAACAGTATGGCATAATGTCAGAAACCACAAAAGCAAGTGTATTTGAGATTACTTAACATGTGAGAGTGACTTCTATGGAGCCCTGCTGGTGACATCCCATATAAATAAAAAAAAAAAGTGTGGCCATGTCTTATTAACATGTGGGAACGAGATCCTAATGCATGGCCTCGACTTAGTAAGGTGTGGGAACGAGATCATTCCTTGCTAAGTTGTGGCCATGCATTAAGATCTTGTTCCCACGCCTTACTAATTTGTGGTCACGACTTAATTATCTTTTTCCCGTGCCTTACCAAGTCAAGCCCACGACTAAATTATCTTGTTCCCATGCCTTACTAAGTTGTGGCCATGCATTATTTTTATTTATACAGGATGTCACCTGCAGGGCTCCGTAGACTTCAGACAATTTTCACCAAATTATTCTTTTTATTGGGACCCTTGCTAGAAAAAAAACAGCAGAACCTGCAAAACCAGCATATATTGTGTTTTGGATGCTGGTACTCTGGTCAACCACCATGACCATGCTGGGTGAGCAGCTAAACCAGCACTAGAGTAGCTTAATGAAATTCAGGCTGGTCTAAGCTGCTTTTTTCAGCAGGAACTCTCAACTCTATTATAGCCGCTTGCTGTGGGTCTGAAAACGTAACTTTATACCCTGAACATGTCTTCACTTATCAGCATTCGGGCTGTGGGGGGTTCTGTAAATATGAGCTTTTTGCCAAATTATTCCTTTAAGTGTAAACGCAGCGCAGTGGATCCCGACTCTGTCCAGCTCAGGCCGTGAGCTTCCTGTACTGCCCGCCCACACTGCTTTTAAAGGTGTCCAGTTTGCTGGACCTGGTGGACTGCGAGCTGTCCGTCCCCTCCGCCGCACTCCGCCTCCTCCAGCTCCTCCCCGTGAGGAAGTCGAGCGCCATCTGGTGGCAGCGCGACGAGCCAAAGTAATAGAGCAGGGGGTCAAGGCTGCAGCTCGCGCTGCCCGCGCACATGGCCAGCAGGTAGGCCACGTACGAGGAGTCGGCCTGTCCTCGAGCCGCGTGCAGCGAGTGCAGCACGAGGATCACGTTGGTCGGCGCGAAGCACACCGCAAACACGATGAACACCGTGGCCGCCATCAGCACCGCCCGGGTCCGCTTGGGGCGGTCGCTCACGCCGCAGAGGACCCGGATGATCCTGAAGTAGCACACGGCGCTGAGGAGGAAGGGGATGAAGAAGAAGAGCGCGCTGTAGGCGGGAAAGAAGTAGACGTAGTAGGAGCGCAGCTTGCGCACGTCCACCACGTCGTGGCACGTGGTGATGTCCAGCTGGGTCACGTGCAGGGTCTGCTCGGACAGCAGCAAAGGGAAGACGCCTGCGCACGAGAGCAGCCACGCGGCGGCGCACGCGGCCCAGGCGTTGCGCGGCGTGCGCCAGACCAGGGAGTCCGTCGGGTAGGCGACGGCCAGCAGGCGGTCCACGCTGATGGCCGTGACCAGCAGCACCGAGCAGTACATGTTGCAGTAGAAGGCCGCGGTGACCAGGCGGCACAGCCCGTCGCCGTACTGCCAGTCGTGGCCGCCGTAGTGGTAGGAGATGCGGAAGGGCAGGAGGAGCGCGAAGAGCAGGTCGGCGCACGCGAGGTTCATCATGTAAATAGACGCGGGCTTTTGGGGGCGCACGCGGCGCGCGAACGCCACCAGCGCGAGCAGGTTAAGGGGCACGCTGGTGAGGAAGACCAGCATGTACACGGTGGGGACGAACACCGTAGCCAAGCGGCTCTGCAGGAAACTCGAGGCCTCTTTGGAGATGTAGTAGCGGCCTATGGCCACCGGAGGGCGCGCGCGCTCGCGCTCTGGGCCCAAGCCGGAGCCGCTGCCCTCCTGCACATCCAGATAGTCGAAGGGCTCATCAGTGGCGGTCAGGAAGAAACCGGAGAAGGTCCTCACGATGCTCCGCGTGTCTGAGGGAGGTGTGGAGGTACAGCAGAATGAGGTGTGATGTGAGGAAATAAAAAGATAGGGGGAAAGAATTAGGCGGGTACTACAGGACATTATAACGGTACAGTGTGTTAGACATTACAATGTAGATATCAAACGTTTTTAAGACGTATGTATTAGACGTTATAATGTCTATAAATAGTCATATGGCTCAGGCCACAGGATGAAAAATCCCATTCGTTCATTCAGTCTCCTGCTAAATGACCTGTAGCTGGATCACTGTAGTTACAGTATTTAGACCTACACGTTTAGAAAGAGTAGCGTAACAGTGTAACAGGAAAAACCTCTCAGATAAAGTTCCTATCGTCTGATAAACACGGCCTTTTTCACACTTTGGAAACTTTATCCTGCATTCATACATTTTTTAATACAATATTTTTCCATCCTCAGCAGTCTAAATACATGCAGAGGTTCAGCTGGGGTCCTGATGTCCAGCACAGTTTTGGATTCTCCTGCTCAGACACATCTGGTTCGCTGCCGGTGTTGGTGGGTGTGTTCGAGTAGTAGAATTACCGAGATGTGCTGAACAGACCCTCCAGGACCGCAGCTGAGCCCCCTGCTGTAGTGAGTTTGAGCTTCTAAACTTACCGTTATCCGGCATCATCGCTGCTGAGGTGCCCACAACCAGCATTAGCACTGCAATAAAACAGCGCTCTGTCACAGCCATGCTGAACTCTCGACACTCGAAAAACAACAAACAGTCAACTAAACGCAGTAAAATGCCCGATCAACACGCAGCTTCTCCTGAAGACTCAGCACAGACAGTCCGCGACACTCATGCTTCTCTCTCTGTAGGAGTTGTTCAGTGGGAAGGGCTCCCACCCTCCCTCTGTTTTTGGAGGGGGTTGTGGTTACATGTGAACGCCCACACGTGGAACTCAGCACTAACAGCCATAAGAGAGAGATCTGCATGTCCTTTCCCATTTGTTAAACGTCATATCACAGAAATAAACAGTAATATTACATGATTCAAGAAATTGATTATATTAAGTATTTAAATATAGAAAATGTTATTATTTATAAACAATAGTAAAAAGTGTATATTTTTAATCTGCATCCTAAACTACTTATCCTCACTGTTAGAACGAAATCTTGCATCTAGGCCTACTTTATTGTCTTTGTTTCATTAGCTGTCCTTTACACTCTATTTGATAATGAATGGACCAATAGGAACGCTCCACAAGTGTCTCCAGTTAATACAGTCATTTGAAAATACATTTCAGGTTAATAAGCTGTACTTCAGTGTCCCAGTCAAACACAAGGTAACACATTAACCACAAGCTGAGTTGCTAATCATGATGCAGGCCAGTGTGATATGCTGTATTGTTACATCCCTAATGATAAACATTTTTGTTCCATATGTTTGCAAGAAATAAGACGCTTTGTAATGTGATTTATTTATTTCAGATCAATGACTTTTACAATACCAGCACATCCTTTTAAAAAGTTACTAAAAGCTCTTTATTAGATCATTTGAAAGATGCACATAGCTTAATCACGTATGAATGGAAGGCACTAGTTGAATATTTGTCTGTGGCTTTACAATTTGGCTTTCCCATTTAATCTTTTAGAGGCAAGAGGCAGTAGTGCTTTGTGAAATTCATTTTAAAACCTGTTTTCCCATATTTTTTCTTCTTTTTTTTACAGTGACAAGTGTTTCACGTACAGTACTACCTAAATATAAAATATATATATCAATTATAATACCATTTAAAAATATATCATGTACAATTATTGTGTGGAAAAAAGCATAAAACTCTAAGACCTGTCAATATAAGCCTCTCATTGGAAACGTGCTGGAAGTTTTGGTACAATTTGATTACAGTTCTAATCAATACCAATCAGAGGATTTAGGCCTTAGCACTAGTAGCTATTTATGTCTGTACAGCTTTAATATTTGAACTTTTGATATGCTTACATATCTCAAAATTAAATACCCAACAATTGTCCCAGAATTTCCAGTTACACAATATAGTCTGTTTACAAAAACAGCTTAACCTGAAGGCACACTTCATTCTCATTGTGCATTATTTCAGACTAACGCTATCCCAAATACGACTTTTCAGCAAGTTAATATTCCCAAGTGTGTCGTCTGAGTTAATGCATCCAACGGTACAGAATTCACTTTCCGTAAAACTTCTTGTTCAGCAGGAAGATCAGGAGGTTGACATTGACTTTGGCCTTGTCAAACATTTTCATCACAGCAACTCCTTCATACTGGAGCTGAAGAAGATCCTGGAAGTGAACAAAGGTAAAAAAAAAGGGGTGTCAATGGATGGATTATATTCGGAATTTCATAAAAGAGGACGACTGGAATCCGAAGTAATATGTTGACTTCCCACTTTTTTTAAAAAAAATTCCAGTCAGGAAAGTTTTTATTGTGGTTCTTAGATATATTTGACAGGAAATGACAAGCATGCCAGTGGCACAGATGGTACACGATTGGAGGGATTTACCTGGAAATGCAGTTGAACTTTTTCCATCTCAACTCCCATAAACTTGGCCTTTATCTCAAAGTCTCCGACTTCTTCACAGGGCGCAATGTCAAACATGACGTTTTTCAGTCTGGAAACAAGGCAAGATAAATCGTTATACAAGCTGACAGATGAAGATAGTTGGGGGGACATAATATCCGAGAATTGTCTTGTAAAAGCAAAATAGATGATACTGAAGAGAGTCTAAATGTCAGGGGAGAACTAGACTGTATCTCTGTCTCAACTGCTTAACTAGATCAGTCTCATTGGCTTTTTAATACCAAACGTAAATAGATAAATGAAAAGAAATCCAAATGACTCATGAGTCTTAAAGAATGCCATTTACAGGCAGTTCAGCTTGTTAACTGAAACACTACAGGCCATTGTACATGGTAATGAAAGATAACGTTACAGCTCATCTTTAGATCCCTTCCCTCCATTTCCACTTTAATTCGTCAAGTCTCCTTATCAGTGCTACACATGCAAGGCTGGCTCTGCACTTGGAAAGCTGCCACTGGCCTGGAGTAGAAAAACCAAAACAGGATGGATAACTGCTCGTAATGAGCTACCTTCCCTCCGGTCTCACACCCAAACCGCTGACCCAGCACTCCACTCACATCAAAGTGAATAACTGAGGAGCTGCTACTTGTGCTATTCTGAGATCAGTCTGTGATAATCTCTTCACAGTGATCACACAGTGGCTCTGCGCTGATGAAACTTATTCCGAATTAGCCAGATAATGAGTGTTAACTATGACAGTGGGAATCTCTAGGCACCTCGTTTTCGATTCAGGGTTCCAAGAAGCGATTATAAAACAATTCTTGATGCATTTTGATGCATCTTCATTTTAGATTTATTGATTCTAAGACCTACATTATGATTTTCTCCTGTATTTGTCATTAACAAAGTTTGCTGCAGCTTAGATTCACCACTGAGCTTTCAAACACATTATATTTAAAGGGATGCACAGAAAACTCACTGCAGCACACACAGGGTCATTTAAAGTTTAAGTGTTTTCAACTTTTGCATGACAGCAGTGGGCATGTCTGGTTTTTCCCTCCAACATGGACAAAAGTCTAGTTTTATTGTTAGAGAGAGAGCATCAGTCTCTCTTGCAAGTGCAGCGAAGACCATGAGCAACAGCTTGAGGTTACGTGATACTACATTTAGTGTGAAAGCAGCTTAACACAACTATTTCACCTTTCGATCTTTAAATGATGCACACTAAAGCAGCTTGGATGCTAACAGCACCTCTGTTGAAAAACCTCAGACTGCTGTTTGGGCTGTGCTCTGTAAATGAACAAGTTCCAAAGCCACATCCACATGTTTTCCATCCAAAAAAAATGAGGTGCTTTCCATCGTTACAGCAGAGCTGTGACTGACCTTACCTATAGACGCTTGTGGCATTTTTATAATTTTAAAACTCATCTGAACCATTGAGACACTTAAGCTGTACGGAAAATACTGAGATGGTATGTCACACTCTGGGAAACTCCTAATATATTTTTTTTTCTTAGTCTGCTCCAACTTCACAGTTAATTTTTTTCAGACATTTCTGCTTAAAGCCTAACTCTGAGCCTGTTAGCCTAAGCTGCTTGTTAAACAAGGCCTTGTTCTTAGGTAGGGTATTTTTTTACTATGGTTCTAGACCTTCTACTTTATATACAACACCTGTTGTAAAAAAAGTGCTATATAAATTGAATTGAATGAACTGAATAGACATGAAAAGTGTGACTGCAAACATGCATACATTAGTGATTTCCTGCATTTTGCTATGCCAGAGTATCTTGCTTTATAGTCTCTGGTTGTGCTGCATAAAAATCTGATTATGATGTTTTGTGAATCAATTCAGAATCTTTTAAAGAGAGAGCTGGGATGCATCTAAGAATCGACTGTTTTTTCCACCTCTAGTTACTAAAGTACTAGCTGGCCTTTTGTCTGCCTGAATCAAACAAGAGTGGGAAATGTGCATATCCTACTAAACCACAGCGCTCTACTAATATGTTTTATTGGATTTTGTTTGATGTCTCATTTTCTTATTAGATCATCCACCAGAATTATAAATCAGAATGAGAACAGGTGATTTCTACCTTCTTGGATAACCTGGTGAAAAAAACTAAATGCAGTGTCTATTTCTTTCCCCAAAAAAGGCATATAAACTCACTGATTGGTCTGAAGGCCTTCAATCTCCAGAATGACTCCTTTCTCATGTAGCCTGGCAGCTGTGTACTTCAAGGACTGCTGCTTGGACTTCTTACTTCCCTTCTCTTCTCCTTTTTTGTCAAGTTTGATTGATCTGCGAGCGTTCCTGTGAAGAATCATTGTTAAATGGCTGCCTTTTTAATATGAGTAAATAATTATTTTAAATATCTATTGCCAGTGGCCAAACCGCTGTCTTAATGTACGCAATCAAACGGTGCCCACCTAAGAGCATCAGGGCAAGCACATGCTTCTCTGTGGTATGTATTTAGCATTACATCTTTTCAATTGGAGAAACCCAACAGGATTTTCAACAGAAGAAACCAATTCAACTTCTTGCCTAATTGAGTGGGAAAAGTAACTAAGCTAAGCTATCTTTCTAACCCAGAAAGCAGAGCTAATTGTACTGTAAGCCACAGTTGGCATCATTTGGATTTGTACTCAGAGGTACAATCCTCATAGCCAATTGCATTAGTCAGAAGCCCTAAAACTGACCAACTTCAAGGTGAAATTAAGTCACAATTTTGGCCACTCACTTTCTGTTGAGGTTGTCAAGGCAGGTTTTGATGTAGGTGTCGTAATAGTTGATCTGGTCCTGGTAGAAAGCTGCCTTGGAGTTGAGAGCATTTAGAGTCTGCTGGAGCTTCACCAGCTCAGCTTTCCTCCTCTGCCTGTAGCGTCTCTGGTAGCGAATGTCCTGTCATTCAACACACAAAGATGGGTTCTAATTATTCCCAAGCTTGAAAGTATTCAAGGTATTTATAAGACCAAAAACTAATGCTTATAATTTGCATGTAAAGGGCCAGTATATTTTTTTTTAACAAGAGAGTTATGTTAACAAATGTCACCATTGTTAAAGTTTCAAAATACACCCACTCATATATGGAAACTACACTCACGAACTACATTCACAAACACGGCTCATTTTGAATTCATTATTTTTGTTGTCACGAGAACCAACTCTTTTACATATTGTTGCTGTTGGAACAAGGTGACAAGATTTTTTTCAAGTAATTTTGGTTAAATATTTTCTTATTGCTTCAAAAATTTTAACACAATAAAAAAGATTAGTTTGAGGATTTAAACTATGCAAAAAAAGTTAAAAACGGAAAACACAAATAGAG